GTCCCAGCTACTTGGGAGGCTGAGGCAGGAGACTCTCTTGAGCCCAGGAGTTGGACGTTGCTGTGAGCTGTGATGCCATGCACTCTACCCAGGGGGATAGCTTGAGGCTCCGTCTAAAAAAAAAAAAAATGTATAGAAATCCTGCTAGGGCTTATTTTTGGGTAGGTCTTATTTTGGGGGAAACACAGTACTACTAGCAAGCAGCCCAATGAGGTAGAGTATTTCTGTTTTACAGATGAGGCAAGTAAGGTTCAAAGAGATGGTTCAGGGTGGCACGTGTAGCTCAAGAAGTCGGGTGCTGGCCTCATATGCTGGAGGTAGCGGGTTCAAATCCAGCCCTGGCCAAAAACTGCAAAAAAAAAAAAAAAAATGGGAGAGAGAGATAGTTCAACTTGCCAAAGCCATGAAACCCAAGAGTTTTCATACATTCAGTAGTGCTGTGAGGAAGGGAGACTTGCTTCTCCAGGAGAAAGTGGCTTCATTAAACAGAATACATTGAGTCCTATAAAAGCATTTGGCTCACCCTCCAGAGGATGGTCCCTCACAGGCATCCACACAAACTTCCCTGGTGTTCTTGTTGCCCATAACTTCAGGGCTTAAGGCATACACAGCATATCTGTACTTATCTATCCCTCCCTTGCCTTGTGTATAGATGAGATATAGATATTTCCCCTCAAGGCTGGGCACAGTGGCTCATGCCTGTAATCCTAGCACTGTGGAAGGCCAAAGCAGTTGGATTGCTTGAGCTCAGGAATTCAAGACCAGCCTGAGCAAGAGTGAGACCCATCTCTACTAAAAATAGAAAAAAGAGCCAGGTATTGTGTTAGACACCTGTAACCCCAGGTACTCAGGAGGCTGAGGCAGGAGAATCACTTGAGCCCAAGAGTTTGAGGTTGCTGTGAGCTATGATGCCATGTAACTTTACACAAGGCAGTGGAGTGAGATTCTGCCTCAAAAAAAAAATCTTATAGCAATCCAGATACAGGTCAGGTGAGCTCAGTCTTGTCCTCGCAGACTCTTAGTGGAGCCTTGGTCAGGCATTGTTGCTGGCAGGACTGGAACCCCTATATTCTTTGGAGGACAGTTGTGGAATTCAGCCACCAGAGGGCACTGAGTCCCCAGCTTTGTTTCCAGAAAGCCAGCGTTTTGTCTGCTCTCCACCCAGCTCCCTATCCTCAGTCTTCCCTGAGGACTAGCTCATTTCCTGTATGTCTTCCTCCAGTAAAGGAGACAGACACGGGAGTGCAGGGCACAGAGGCTGGACTGGCTGTGTCTCAGGGCCACTTAGGCTTCTGGGGTGTCTCCCTGGTTTGAAAGTACAGTGGGTGGACAGAGGTAATGTCCTCCCCAGAGCTCCTGCAGAGTTCCTGATGGTCTACTGCTTGCTCCTACTTCCCTACCAGCCAGGCAGCTGCCATGGAGGTCTTTTTCAAAACCTGTTTAGGTTGTTCTCCTGCTTAGAACTCTTCCAGTGTGTCCCCTTACTTGGGACAAAGGCCAACTCCTCCCATGGCCCTCGGGGCCCTGCATGGCTGGTCCAGCCTTCAGCTACTCTGCCTGGCCACTTTCCTGGCCCCTCAGATCCTGCTCTACCTCTGAGCCTACTTCCCAGCAGGTGTCACGTCAAAGAAGCCCTCCTTCCCCCTCTACCACCACCATTCCCAGCCTTGGTCTCATCCCTGACACACCTTATGACACAGGAAGCCCCCTTTCACAGTTATACTCTTTTTTTTTTTTTTTTGAGACGGAGCCTCAAGCTGTCCCCCTGGGTAGAGTGCCATGGCATCACAGCTCATAGCAACCTCCAACTCCTGGGCTCAAGCGAGTCTCCTGCCTCAGCCTCCCAAGTAGCTGGGACCACAGGCGCCCACCACAACGCCCGGCCATTTTTTTTTTTTAGTTGCAGCCATCATTGTTGTTTGGCGGGCCCGGGCTGGGGATTCGAACCCACCACCTTAGGTGTATGTGGCTGGCGCCTTAGCCGCTTGAGCCACAGGCGCCAAGCCCACAGTTATACTCTTATAGTGCTTTTGAAACTATCTGAGGTATGTCACAGCAGGCTGTCCCTCACTGCCTTGGCTGAGCTCTGTGGCAGTGAGATTGCTTACTCCTGTGTTGCCTGTGGTACCCAGAACTCAGCAGGCACTCGATAAACACAGCATGATGCTCTGAGGTGCTGGGGCATTGTAATCACAAGCCAAAGCAAAATCCTGGAACCTTCTCATCATTGCAGGTAGATAAATGGGTTTTCTACTGGCACTTGACAGTGTTGGTCACACCCTTGTTCCCCCCACAATTGCTCCATGACAGGGAACCTTTGGTTGGGGACCAGGACTCAGTCTCTTGTTGGTACACTGTCCTTCCCTGCTATCTCTCTAACCATGGCTTTCTCCCTGCAGGAATCTTCATTGCCTTGTTGCTGCGTTTTGACATTAGGTAAGTGAATGAGGGCCCACCCTGGGCTGGGGTTCTCCAGTGGCTTTCAGGAACCCCAGGGGCATACCTCAGGGGGTATGCCACCCCCACAGCAGCCAAAGCCATTCTGATTTTATCTGCATTTCACATTTTGAAGTTCTAAATGTTCAAGGAGCCTGTGGTCAAAATGTTTTAAAAGTTAAGAATCATAAACTAGACCAGGTGTGGTGGCTCAGGGCAGTAATCCTAGCACTCTGGGAGGCAGAGACTGGCGGATTGCTTGAGCTCAGGAGTTTGAAAGCAGCCTGAGCAGGCACAAGAACCTGCCTCTACTAAGAATAGAAAAATCTAGCTAAGTATTATGGTGGGCACCTATAGTCCCAGCTACTCTGGAGGCTATGGCAAGGGTATTGCTCAAGTTCAAGAGTTGGAGTTTGCCGTGTCAAGTTCAAGAGTTGGAGTTTGCCATGAGCTGTGATGCCAAAGCACTGTACCCAGGGCAAAAGAATGAGTCTCTGTGTCATTCATAAATAAATAAATAAATCACAAGCCAGCCAGGGTGACAAAGTGAGACTCTTTCTCATAAGTAAATAAATAAGTCACAAACCAGAGATTTAAACTCAGAATGTCCTAATAATGCTCACCATGTGACCTTTACAAGTAGCCTGACCTTTCTTTTTTTACTTTTTGGAGACAGAGTCTCACTTTGTCACCCTTGGTAGAGTGCCATGGCGTCACAGTTCATAGCAGCCTCAAACTCTTGGACTCAAGTGATTCTTTTGCCTCAGCCTCCCAAGTAGCTGGGACTATAGGCACCCGCCACAACACCTGGCTATTTTTTTACAGACAAGGTGTCGCTCTGACTCAGGCTGGTCTCCAACCCATGAGCTCAGACAATCCACTTGCCTTGGCCTCCCAGAGTTCTGGGACTACAGCCGCGAGCCACTGCGCCTGGCCCCGCCTGACCCTCCTGAGCCTCAGATTTCTCATCTTTACATTAGTGGTAAACATGAGTTCCTACCTCAGGATTATTGTGAAAGTCTAGAGAGGGGATGCTGAGCACAGGCTGATCTCAGTACCTCTCGGGCAAATCCAGCTGCAGTCGTCATCTTTTTTTGTTGTTGTTGCAGTTTCTGGCTGGGGCTGGGTTGGAACCCACCACCGCCAGCATATGGGGCTGGCACCCTACTCCTTGAGCCACAGGCGCCACCCCATCATTATCATTTTTTATCAGCCTCAGGTCAGGTCACTGTGTCCCAGTTCCCAGTTTCTCTAGCTGTTCCCTGCCTTTCTCTTACTCAGACCTTTTTTCTTTCTTTCTTTTTTTGTTTGTTTTCGTTTCTTTGTTTTGAGACAGAGTCTCACTTTCTCACACTGGATAGAGTGCTGTGGCATCACAGCTCACAACCTCAAACTCCTGGGCTCAAGTGATTCTCTTGCCTCAGCCTCCCAAGTAGCTGGGACTACAGGCATCCCCTATAACACCCCCAAAACATCTATTTTTTTCTGTTTTTGCTCAGACTGGTCTTGAACTCCTGAACTCAGGCAATCCACCTGCCTTAGCCTCCCAGGGTGCTAGGGTTACAGGCCTGAGCTACTAAGTGCCCAGCTACTTTCCTATCATAGGAAATGAGCACAGGAAAGAAGAGAATCAACTTGAGTCGCCGCTTAAAACACAAGAAAGGCCATATCTGAGTTAATGAACCTGGGCCTGCTGCCAGCAGGCAGCGCCAGCAACTGCTGTCATTTTATGCTCAGTCATCCCAGCAAGGTCTTGTGTGGGGGCTTAATTTTGAGGTGGTTTATGAATTTTTCTTTATCTCCTCATGCCCCTGATTGCAAAAACAGTAATAATAGTGGCAGTGGTAATGAGAAACTCAGTACCAAAATCATTGAAATCCAATTTTCTTTCTTTTCTTTTTTTTTTTTTTTTTGAGACACAGTCTCTCTTTGTCACCCTTGATAGAATGCCATGGTGTCATAGCTCACAGCAACCTCAAACTCTTGGGCTCAAGTGATTCTCTTGCCTCAGCCTCCTGAGTAGCTGGTACTACAAGTACCCGCCACAATCCCTGGCTATTTTTTAGAGGCGGGATCTCACCTGGCTCAGGCTAGTCTCGAACCTGTGAGCTCAGGCAATACACCCACATCTGCCTCCCAGAGTGCTGGGATTACAGCATGAGCCACCGCGCTCAGCCTTTTTTTTTGGGGGGGGGGGCAGAATCTCACTTTGTCACCCTAGGTAGAGTGCCATGGCATCATAGGTTACAGCAACCTTAAACTTTTTGGCTCCAGCAATCCTCCAGCCTCAGCCTCCGGAGTAACTGGGACTACTCTGGGCACCCACCATGATACTCAGCTAATTTTTTTCTCTCTCTCTCACTCTTTTTTTTTTTTTTTTTTTGCCAGTTAAAGACAGGTCTCACTTTTGCTCAGGCTGGTGTCAAACTCCTGAGCTCAGGTGATCCACCCATGTTGGCCTCCCAGAATGCTAGGATTACAGACACTCAACCTTGAAATCAAATTTTCATTTGAAACTTAACTTCCCTACTTGAGTACATCTGTTATTTGTGTAGTGCCACTTAAACACATGAGCTTACAGACACCCTTGGAAAGGACCTGGACAGTTTGTACACAGAAGCATGTCTGTGCTAGCTATTTCTACTTCTGTGTGTTCAGAGGTGATACAAAGTGAAACCCGCAGGCTGTTTGCTGGGACACAGTCAGCTGCCAGCACCCTCAGAGGCAGAATGTAATTCCTAGCTTGGGTTCACAGGATAAGCTCCTCAGAACTGGTTGCAGAATTGGTGCAACATTTCCAAACAGAGTCACTTGTACCCCTCCTCTTACAACACGATAGCTCTCAATGTACTTACAGCTCAGGTGCACCCAGGGCAAAGAGAAAAAAGGATCAAAAGTATTCATTCTTTCCACAAATGTTAACTGAATTCATAGTACTGGCTGGGCACCACTCCAGGTGCTGGGGACACTCAGAGGTTATGGAACTAACACTGTAAAGGAAAGTCACATAATGGCAGTGCCAGGTTGCATGCAGTTCATCTGTTCTAAAACTAATCTCAAATGAATTACCTCCAGGAAGCCACTGGCATTTGATTCATGGAGCCAATATCTACTTAGTGCCCACAAATAGATTACTGAGCTATTATGTCCACTGCACTTTAATAAGTTACTTCTGCAATTTTTGTATCAGTGTTTTTCAAAGCATGATCCCCCCTCCCTCGTACCAGATTCACCTTAGTTTTTTGTTTGTTTGTTTGTTTCTTAAGACTCAGAGTCTCATTATGTCACCCTCAGTAGAGTGCTATGGCATCACTGCTCACAGCAACCTCCACCTCTTGGGTTTAGCCTCCCAAATAGCTGGGACTACAGGCACCCACCATAACACCCAGCTATTTTTTTGTTGTAGTTGTCATTGTTTAGCAGGCCTGGGCCGGGTTCAAACCTGCCAGCCCCCGTGTATGTAGCACCGGTGCCCTAACTACTGAGCTATGGGTACCGAGCCACCTTAGTTACTTTTCAAAGTAAAGATTCTGGCTGAATGCCTGTGGCTCAAGTGGCTAAGGCACCAGCCACATACACCTAAGGTGGCAGGTTCAAATCCAGCCCAGGCCCACCAAGCAACAACAATGGCTGCAACCAAAAAATAGCTGGGCGTTGTGGTGGGCGCCTGTAGTCCCAGCTACTTGGGAGGCTGAGGCAGGAGACTTGCTTGAGCCCAGGAGTTGGAGGTTGCTGTGAGCTGTGATGCCACGGCACTCTGCCCAGGGGGACAGCTTGAGGCTCTGTCTAAAAAAAATAATAACAACAACAAAGTAAAGACTCTGACCCAGGATAGTGGCTCACATCTGTAATCCTATCACTCTGGGAGGCCAAGGTAGGTGGATCACCTAAGCTCAAGAATTTGAGACTAGCGTAAGCAAGAGTGAGACCCTCTCCCCACTAGCTAGGCATAGTGGCGTGCACCTATAGTCCCAGCTACTGGGACTCTAGCAATTATCTTGCCTCAGCTTGCCAAGTAGCTGGGACTATAGGCGCCTACGACAATACCCGGCTATTTTTTTGTTGCAGTTGTCATTGTTTAACTGGCCCAGGTCGGGTTCAAACCCACCAGCCTGGGTATATGTGGCCAGCGCCCTACCCACTGAACTATGGGCATCGCCCATGGAGGATCTCTTGAGCCCAGGAGTTTGAGGTTACTGTAAGCTATGGTGCCATAGCACTCCACCTGGAGTGACAGAGTGAGATTGATTGTCTTACCCCCCAAAAAAACCGCAGATTTCTGGACCTTGCTCTAGACCTGGGGAGTGGACCTAAAGCCCTGCATTTTTCTTTTTACAGGCTGTTCAGATTATCTTTATAGTGGCTAAAGTCTTACAGCCACTGTTTTAGATTGTGGCATTTGATATTCACAGCCACCAGGTGGATAGGCTTCTCATCTTCCCATTTTTCAGATAAGTAAGCTGAGACTGAGAGAAGAAAAGTGACGTGACCAAAGACATGTGGCTGGGGGCAGTCCCAGAGTAAATGCCAATCTCCAGTCTCCCAGCCCAGAGCTCTGTCACCCCCACAACCTCCAGGGTCTTCTCTAGTTCCCTCAGAAGAGATGATACTGCTCTAATGCCTATATCTAACCATCTTCCTTCTTCTCATACCTTCCCTGAAGCTTGAAGAAGAATACCCATACCTACTTCTATACCAGCTTTGCAGCCTACATCTTTGGCCTGGGCCTTACCATCTTCATCATGCACATCTTCAAGCATGCCCAGGTAAGCAAGGCTATACTCAGAGTGTCAAGAATGCTTCACTCAGGCGGCGCCTGTGGCTCAAAGGAGTAATGCACCAGTCCCATATAACGGAAGTGGTGGGTTCAAACCTGGCCCCAGCCAAAAACTGCCCCCCCCAAAAAAAGAATGCTTCACTGCAAATAAGAGGAACTTAGAAGGATTTATTTGTCACATACACAAGCAATCCAGAGGTAGGTGCTCCTGGTAGTGTCAGAGCAATCCTCTCTGTGATTCTCTTGGCCTTTCACTTGTGGCTGCCACTGCCCGAGGCACCATGTGCACATTAGTGGTAAGAATGAGGGAAAAGCATAGCAGCCACACCTGTTGTCTTCATTAGGAAGGCAAAACTTTCCCAGAACCCTTGCAGCACTTCATGGCCCAGATTAGTGTCCCAGGACCACCCCAGCTGCTACAGTGTTAGAAGGAGGATTTGGCTTCTTAGCCTCAGCAGGGGGGGCGAGCAGATAGAGAAGAATGGGATTCCGGTAGATTTGGGGTATTTTAGCCCAGCAGCCACCCTCCAGAAGAGTGATTAGCTGTTCAGCCCTGCCCTCTCACTACTCCTCAGGCAGGAGTAGCCCAGCCAAGCTCTGCCCCCATCTCCCAGCAAAGTGGGTACTGAGCTGCCACAGAATGAACTAGCATAGCCTGAGGGCTCAGAGCAATCAGTATGGCCTGGAGAGTAGAACACTGGGAGGTGAAAGTGAGCAGACAGGATTGCCCTACTCTATACTAGAAGTAATTAAGACCCTTGTTTGTTAAGCACTTCTCACATGCCATCCTCTGTGCTCATGAAGGTCCTTATGGGTTTTTTTGTTATTGTTGTTGTTGCAGTTTTGGCCGGGGCCAGATTTGAACCTGCCACCCTCAGTATATCGGGCCAGCGCCCTACTCACTGAACCATAGGCACCACCCTTTTTTTTTTTTTGAAACAGTCTTACTTTGTCGCTCTCAGTAGAGTGCTGTGGCCTCACAGCTCACAGCATCCTCCAGTTCTTGGGCTAGGGCGATTCTCTTGCCTCAGTCTCCCAAGTTGCTAGTACTATAGGCACCCACCAGAACACCCAGCTATTTTTGTTGCAGTTGCCACTGCTGTTGTAGCTGGCAGGGATCAGGTTCGAACCCATCACCCTCGGTATATGAGGCCTGCGCCCTACCCCCTGAGCCACAGGCACCACCCATGAAGGTCCTTATGAACAGATGAGGAAACTGGAGGTCAGATGCCACCCAGCAAGTATGTGGTGGATTCACACCCGGCTCAGTGAGAAAACCCAGCCTTTCAGGCCCAGCCATGGAAAAGGCAGTGTAACAGAAGCCGAGGAGGCCCCCTATGAATCCACACTCCATCCAGGAGCTGTAGGACTCGAGGCAGATCACTTAGGCAGAGCCTTACGTTAGGTAACTGTTGTTGATAATAAAGTCAGAGAATGAGATAAATAACAGCCACCCTGAGGTTGTTTGAGGATGAAGCAGGTTAATGTGAATGCCGTGCTTAGCCCCAGGCCTGGCCTAGTGACTGTGAGCTGCCACTGTTGCTCTTCCCTCTCCGCTTCCCTGGGGCCCTGCACACATGGGCTACCTTTGAAGGAATCACAAGGCTGTTGATTACTCGGGCCAGGCACTATGCTAACTCTCCTGCTTTTCTTACAGCGGTACTCCTCTGAGGGAGGTTCTAGTGCAGTATTCTTATTTTGTGCTCCTCTGAGGGAGGTTCTAAGTGCAATATTCTTATTTTACTAGAAGGGCCAAGGTCCTGTAGCCCATAAGTGGAGAAAACAAAGAACCCATGGGGAATTACCTCTCATTCACTTTTGTTCCACATTACGTAAGGGGTGTTTAAGCTGAGAGTGACATGAGGTTGGCAAGGGGGTTTGACCCAGGTTGGGGCTCTAGTGTACTTTGGAGATGTCTGCTGTAGCCCTCAGCCCCAAGTCCAAGCCCAGAGACAACTCCCTCAATGGCCACCAGGTGGCAGGCTTGCCTTCTGCCTGGTGAGACTCAGAAGAGGATTCTCTTCAGAGTTCTTTCACACTAAAGAGCAAGGGCAAGACAGGTGTCCTCTTTTTTTTTTTTTTTTTTTTGAGACAATCTCTCCATGACCCTGGATAGAATACAGCAGCAGCATCATAGCTCACTGCAAACTCAAACTTGTGGGCTCAGTCTTTCTACCTCAACCTTCCAAAGTAGTAGAGATGTAGAAATGGGATCTTGGCTCGGTTCCTATGGCTCAAGTGGCTAAGGCGCCAGCCACATACACCTAAGGTGGAGGGTGTAAATCCAGCCCGGGTCCACCAAACAACAATGACAGCTGCAACCAAAAAATGGCCAGACGTTGTGGCAGGCGCCTGTGGTCCCAGCTACTTGGGAGGC